CTCAATTATTATGATTTTGCATTGACTATGTGTATTAATTTTATAATTAAAAAGCTTTAAATGGCTGCTTACCCAATATAAGTGGAAGAGGAAAGAATAATATTTAAAGTCATATACTCTACCCTTCTGGCATGTTCACTTTTCTTTATGAATATTATACCTAGTGGCCCAGTGCATGAATTCATGCACATTGGAAGGAAATTAATTAGAAGAAATACTTTAATATTGCTATTCATCCTTTCTTTATAATAGAAGTGTCAACCAAATTCATGATTGACAATGACAAATCAAAACATATGCATGCGATTGGTGCCAGCGAGAGCTTTATAGGTATTGCACATGCACAAGTCAACTTCGCCTTTTACACACACACACACACACATGTATACACACACATATAATAAATTTGCTTAATTAGTCCTGCTTTCTGATGTAGCTAAACTTTTTCCAGCCCAACTTCATCAACTCCATTTTCAGGTAATTATCAGCAACACAGCAGTAAATATCAACACAAAGCAGATTATTATTGTAGATCATGCAGGGAGAGCAAAAGGTACAATATTTAACTGCAGTATGGTTTGACTATTTGTGCACAGTGAGAAAGCCTGAAATCATTTTCAAGGTCCACCAGGTCTGCCTTTTCTTTGTAAATGGCCAGTGCAGGTCACAGCAGCTCCTGTGTTGAGTGCCTGCCCCCTGGTGGTCAGTGAACATCATAGCAACCGGTTGGATGGTTGGACACTTAGTATATTAGCCTTTTATGTATATAGACTAGAGGCCCAGTGCATGAAATTCGTGCATGGGGGGGGGGGATCCCTCAACCTGGCCTGCGCCCTTGGGGGATGTCCAACTGCCGGTGGTCAATGCACGTCATAGCAACTGGTTGTTCCACATATTAGGGTTTTATTGTATACTAGAGGCCTGTTGCACGAAAAGATTCATGCAATAGGCCTTCCCTTCCCCTGGCTGCTGGCACTGGTTTTCCTCCGGCACCCGGGACCCAGGCCTTCACTCCAGCCGGAGCTACCTTCAAGCCTTCGCAGCTCCACCCAGAGTTGCCTTCAAGCCTTCGCTGCTCCGGCCGGAGCCGCCTTCAGTCTTTGCTCTGCTGCCTTGTGCCTACGTATGCAAATTAACCCCCATCTTTGTTGGCGGTTAATTTGCATATCTTGCTGGTTAGCCGATGGGAGGCGTAGTGAAGGTATGGTCAATTACCATGGTTGTCTATTACTAGATAGGATGATAGGACACTTAAGGGACTTTATTATGCTAATATGCAGTGTTAATTTTGAAGAGGAGATAAAAATTTGTAGTGATTTCCTATCACATTTGACCATGGAACAACTGAAAAACACTTTTTAGGAAATGTTTTTTAGGATTTTAGTGAAAATACTATACTGTTATTAGATTATTTAAAAATATTGTGCTATATGTTAAATTGATGCTTGGTGTGCAATTATTAACTAACATTCAAAGTTCATTAAAATTGTTTTGAGCCCTACCTGGTTTGGTTCAGTAGATAGAGGATTGGCCTGCAGACTGAAGGGTCCCAGGTTTGATTTTGGTCAAGGGCAATGCCTGAGTTGCAGCCTCGATCCCCAGTAGGGGGTGTGCAGGAGGCCAGCCGATCAATGATTCCCTCTCATCATTGATGTTTCTCTCTCTCTCCCTCTTCTTTCCTCTCTAAAATCAATAACAATATTTTTAAAAAAATTGTTTTGAGAATTTCATGGTGTTCCAAAAAGTGGGCATCATTTCTCAGGTGCATCCCTGCAGGGAGAAATCTCAGGAACCCCCCTGCAGTGTTTCAGTCCTGGCTGCACTATGGCAGTGCTGTTTTGGCGGTAAATGTGTGTACTTACTATAAAGTGGCCTGGGCTATTTATGGAAGTAGGAAATAAGATGTTAAAATGAAATGTTTTATTAAGGAGGCACTAAACATTTATATTTCTCTCTGAAAACTCAACAGGCTAATTAGACTACGGTGAGTAACTTGTATTCTCAAGGTCGGTTTTGTTTTATAGTGGGGCATATGCTATTTAGAATTGGACTTTAAAAAGAAAAAGGGCTCTTTCTAGAATGCAAATTCTCATTTTATGACCTACCCTCCATGTGTTAGCTGAATTTGCTCAGTAGTCACATCATAAGTAACAGCGTAATCCATAGTCACAATACAGTAAGGGGAAATAGATGCAGTACTGATAACATAAGTAGTATAAATTCAACAAACCTTAATTCAACAAATTTGAAGCAATCAAAAAGGAGAAATACAGAATATTTAAAGAGGTATTTACATACATGGAAGCCTGATTATTGGAGGTTTGTCCAAAATTACTCATATTATTTGTTTTATGTGTGACAAAAAGTGAATGATATTTGAAAAAAATAAAAAGTAAAAAACCCAAGCAACAGATAATCTCAGAAGTTTTCAGATAGGAATATACTTCCCCTCCAAATATTTTCACTTCTCTAATAAAACAAAAATATAAAATTAGTAATTTCTTTTCTTTTTTTTTTTACAGAGAGGAAGGGAGAGAGATAGAGAGTTAGAAACATCGATGAGAGGGAAACATCGATCAGCTGCCTCCTGCACATCTCCTACTGGGGATGTGCCCGCAACCCAGGTACATGCCCTTGACCAGAATCGAACCTGGGACCTTTCAGTCCGCAGGCTGATGCTCTATCCACTGAGCCAAACCGGTTTTGGCAAATTTAGTAATTTCTTTATATAAAAACAGTGAGATTTAATACGAAGAAAATTTCATTAGCATTATGATATCCACCTCAAACACTAGATACCTGCATTGATTGTGAATCCTTTCTGGGTGGATGCTAATATATGGTGAAACTGTTTTATCAACATATGAACCAAATCCAAGACGAAAGTCATGGGAGAAAAATGCCATTTTTCTAGATAAATCATTTCCAATGGAATTTAGTTTTTCAATATTATTGTGCATTGATGCCGAGACATCAACCAGATAATAAAGATCCACAGGATATTTCTTCAGAGGATGAATTTTCAGCATAAAATTAGCTTCAGCTCCTAGTTCAAAGAAAGACAAATATCATGTATTTATTTTAAATATCTCAGGATAAACGGTCAATAAGTCACATTTTAGATATAGAACAATAATAACCGATTTGTGTGTAATTTATGAAATCAGGAATATTCTGGAATAATTTTAAGGCAGTTTGAAAACCACACTAATGTGTGAGTTTCAAACTTTTACAATGCATTTCTCACAATTTTATAGGGCAGATACAGATAATATCATCAAATGGACCAGCTCAATATAAATGCAGTAGGGAACGTATTTATTACCATCTGAACCTATAGTTATAGTATCTAGAAAAGCACAGCACAAGACAACAAGAAGCATTCCATCTCAAGAGAGAGTAGGTGGCTATGGTCATGTAAAGGTTGCTTTCAGATATAAATTCATTCTTTCGGATTAAGGCATACTTATGAGATGTGAAACTCTGTTACTGAGCAGTATGTTAAGCAATTCAAAACAATTAGTACATCATCACAATTACTTGATATGATTCTTCTCAGCAGTTAGTTGTGAGAAGGAATGAGGAAGTGGTCTAAAGAACAGTAGCCAGCAGTGCCACAGTGAGGACCGTGCTGGGTTCTTTCTCAATAAACATGTGCGGAGGGGTCATGGAGGCAAGGGAGCTGGGTGAGAAGAGGGTGACCACAGGAGAGCCGTGCGAGTCTCCTAGGGACAGCCCTGCAGAGTTGGTAGCTCTGTATTCTTTTTTAAGTAGATGGTGAAAACACCAATTTAAATACTTTGTGAATTTTGCTTTTTTAAATAATAAAGCAAATGCTTTGTAAGTCATTATTTGTCCATGGAGAATATTTTGAATGGAAATATTTTTTAAAAACACCAATTTGTATGCATAATTGGTAGTCTGATCTATCCATTAAAGGTATCCCCTAATCTAGCCAGTCATACCGGTATTTGCAGTCTTAATGTGCTTAACAGTAGCAGTATTTTCTCTTAAATTGTTTCACAAATCAGAAGTTTTCCAGCCAGATTAAGGAATGCATTCAAAGTAATGTTTTTTTTTCTGATACCTAATAATTATGGGAGAAAAGGACTATTCCCTTATTCCTAATTTGCCAACATATGGATGAAACCCCTTTACTGTAACACTCCTAATTTTTTGGCCCAAGAGTTTGGGGGAGAAATCTGGCATGTGTCATCCAGCTCAGTCCACTCTCTGTCCTAACATTTAGGAGCTGGGCTGCCTTACATTTAAGAGCTGGGCTCAGCTTTCAGGTACCTGGTGTAAAAGCCTGACCATGTAGAAGTATCTGCAATTTGGGTAGAGCATTTTAATTCGAGAGAATGATAGAATTTGGCAGATAGGGCTGGATCGGTGAAAAACAGAAATGGAGTAGAACTGGGGAGTGTGGTTCATGAGGAGGACTTTGAACTTTAATGTGTGGGTCAGTATTGAAACATTTTCATTTTTATATTTTTACAAATTGCGTAGTTGCTTTTTAATCATTGACTTGGAGATACGGCTGAAGGCCTTAGGCACTGGCCACATGTTATTTTCATCTTGGTGGATCGTTGCAGTTTATGGTGCCTCTGTCTAAAGATGAATGGCTGTCTGTTTTTTATAGTCATTGCAAAATAAACCAGTTAAGTGTATTGTGCAGGTTGTTATATTGCTGGTTATCTCAGCCAACAGGCAGAGCCTGTGAAGCATCAGCAAAACACAGTCCTTGGAGGCCTATTCAGGGAGCTCGAAGCAAATGCTAGTCGCTTAAGGGCCCTCAGCATATGCCAGTTGCTCATAGCCCAGCAAACAAATCATGGTCTCACTAGATGTTAGTAACTATTATCATTACTATTACTAGAGCAGCTTTCGGGTAAGAACTGTCTATCCATCTCTGAAGCCTCTAGGTTTTATACATGCATAGCCACTTATAAATGTTCTTTAACTGGATAATATTTGAAGCACGTTTATATATAGCCTTTTAAAAAGCCCACATATTTATCACAGTAAGAAGCTAATATCTATGACTTCTTTCCCACAGTTTAGGGGTGTCTTCATTTCTCTCTTTAAGAGGAAAAAGGATTCTCTAGCTCCAAAATGTTTATGCTACTACCATGTATATTATTATCTCCAGGAAAGCTTCACTCTCATCTTTTGAGATTCTAAAGGCTCAGATCCTTTAATAGAATGAGAAAGAGGACTTGGAGGAAAGTTGAGACCTACTTAGAGTTACTGCCAGTATTGGTTTGAATAGCCCAAAGAATTAATTAAAAGTTCTTAGCATGATTTTGAATTACTCAAATAATGGAGTGAGCATCTCTGAAGTACTGGCTACAACAAATATGACTGGGCATTAAGAAAAGATAATTTTTAAAAAAATATATTTTATTGACTTTTTACAGAGAGGAAGGGAGAGAGATAGAGAGTTAGAAACATCGATGAGAGAGAAACATCGATCAGCTGCCTCCTGCACATCTCCTACTGGGGATGTGCCTGCAACCCAGGTACATGCCCTTGACCGGAATTGAACCCGGGATCTTTCAGTCCGCAGGCCGACGCTCTATCCACTGATCCAAACCGGTTTCGGCAAGAAAAGATAATTTTAAAATGATCTTCATAAGGTGAAATTGAAAAACCATAACAGAATATACAAAAGTGTAGCAGGAAGAAAGAGCAGCCAATTACTATTAATTATACTTGGGCAGGGGAAGGAGAAGGCCCAAGAATGAGACTGATTTAAAATAGGAAAGCACAGACTCCAGCACACTTCTGAATTTTTGTGGTGGATAAAATGGGGTATATGTGCAGGTGTGGGGGGGAAATGCATAATTTCTGCATTTTTATGTTTTTTTTAAAAAAATTATTGAATTTAGGAAAAATACCTGAGAAATCTTACCTTTTAAATTAAGCTGCACTAATAGAGAACTTTTTTGTTTACAATATTAAAATGAATCAAGTTTGAAATATTTTTTAAATGAGTGAAGTATAGATTATACTAATTCTTATCATATATTCTAGAGACCCGGTGCACGAAATTCATGCACTCAGGGCAGGGGTGGGGTGGCGAGGGTGTCCCTCAGCCCGGCCTGCACCCTCTCGCTGCCTGGGAACCCTTGGGGGATGTCCCCTCAGGGAGCGGGCTAAAGCTGTCAGTCGAACATCCTTAATGCTACCACGGAGGCAAGAGAGGCTCCTGCCACCACCACTGCACTAGCCAGCCATGAGCCTGGCTTCTGGTTGAGCGGCGTTCCCCCTATGGGAGTGCACTGACCACCAGGGAGCAGCTTCTGCATTGAGCGTCTGACCCCTGGTGGTCAGTGCACATCATAGCAACTGGTTGTTCTGCCATTTGGTTGATTTGCATATTAGCCTTTTTTATATAGGATTGTATTACTCTAAACCAAAATTAGAGAATTTTCTTCTCTTTCCTATTTTCCTAAAGATTTCATTTCAGTGTTCTTAGGGAACATCAACTAGGATCAGTGACCTATTTCTGTTATTACTTTTCCATAGGATTGATAGGTAAAAATAAGAAAAAAAAAAGTGTAGTTTAAGAAGTAAAAAATAAAATAAAATTTCATTTTAAAAGCTCATTTTAAATATTTATTATATATTATACATATTTTTATATAGTTCTAACATTCTTTTAAACATTTAGTAAGTATGTGGTGTTATAGAAATATTTATAAATTTATTTTTAAAATTCTTAATAGATGTTATATTGAATGTCATGAATTTTTTATCAGTAAGCAATAAAATGATTATCAATAAAATGATTATCAAACCAAATAAATCACAACAATATTAGGGAATAGATACAGTTTACACTTACGTATGCATTGTATCAAACCCTCAACTCTTTTTTTAAAATTAATTCTCACCCAAGGATATTTTCCATTGATTTTTAGAGAGAGTGGAAGGGAGTGGGAGAGACAGAGAGGGAAGCATTGATGTTGAGAGAGACATATCAATTGGTTGCCTCCCACACGTACCCAAACCAGAGCCGGGGTTTGATCCTGCAACCAAGGTACATGCCCTTGACCAGATTTGAACCTGTGACCCTTCCTGGGCTGATGCTCTATCCACTGAGCCAAACCAGTTAGGGCAAACACTCAACTCTTATATGTATAGTGGTGGAATGGACTTTGACATTATGAAGAGTGATGTTTCCATATATCTGGAGTTGGTACAATATAGCTCTATATATTCTGCCCCAAAGCTGGGATGTCTTTGATGTCACAATGCATTGTTTAGATCAGCAGTTCTCAACCTGTGGGTCACGACCCCTTTGGGGGTCGAACGACCCTTTCACGGGGATTGCCTAAGACCATCGGAAAACACATAATTACATATTGTTTTTGTGATTAATCACTATGCTTTAATTATGTTCAATTTGTAACAATGAAAATACATCCTGCATATCATATATTTACATTACAATTCATAACAGTAGCAAAATTACAGTTATGAAGTAGCAAAAAAAATAATTTTATGGTTGGGGGTCACCACAACATGAGGAACTGTATTAAAGGGTCGCAGTATTAGGAAGGTTGAGAACCACTGGTTTAGATGAACTGAAACCTAATTTAATGACTCTTTGCTATACATGCAGATTATAAAATACTAGAGGCCCAATGCACGAAATTCGTATAAGAGTAGGCCTTCCTTCCCCCTTCCCCCGGCTGCTGGCACCGGCTTCCCTCTGGCACCCGGGACATGGGCTTCCCTCGCAGCCTTGGGTTCATCCAAAAGGTCGTCCAGAAGGACGTCCGGTCTAATTAGCATATTATGCTTTTATTATTTTAGATAGTTATGTCATAGCTATGTTGGAAAGATGACTTACACACATGAGACAGTTTTATTAATTTTCAAACATAAATTCAAATAGTAGAGGGAATGTGAATAAAATCAAGCCCATAATAACTAACATAGACATCAAAACATTTCTCTTTTCACTCTTCTACTACCAATGATCGCATGCATACTGCCTTCACTTATCACCTCATGCTGGCATCTGCCATGTCTCTATCTTCAGTCTGTATCTTTCCCCTGAACTTCAGCCTCATACAGATAAGTCACTACCTCAACCCAAGTAGTCCCAATTTGAACTCATTACCACCCCCTCTACAGAGGGCAACCCTCCCCTTCTCACCTAAACGCTTGAACCTGAGCCCACGTGTGACCACACTCATCATCAATCACAAACCTCTGAGGATGCTACCTCCCCATTATCTCCCAAGTCTGTCAATCTTTCTCCTGCCTCAATACCATTATGCCATTATTATCATTATCATTACTATCACTGTGGAAATAGCAGTGATACTGTTTTTCAACTTTTGAACTGTTAATTAATTTATAGTCTTGGGAGGATTCAATCACCATTATATATAAAAAGGGGACCAAGCTAAAGTCATTGATGTGTATAAATTTAAATGTAATAAACCAGTAGAAAAAATGCACCTTGTAATTTCAAATCTTCAAATATTTTTTAAAAAGACAGTTTTAAAGGACATAGTCATATTAATTAGAGGTAAATTATATATACACTTCATGTGTACTTTTTTATCTTCATTAGGTTTTTTAGGGTTTCCTTGTTTCTTGAGTCAATTTTTAATCACACATTTTCTACAAAATTATATTATCAAGATATATACATTTTACCATGGATTTTTGTGTTTAACATTTTCTTAAAGTCTTTTTTCCCATTATTTGATTCTCTAGTTATAGTCTATATGGTAAGGTTATTTGCTTTTTTGTTCTTTTTCTTAATTAGATTTGCCAACAATTTGTCTATTTGATTAGGTTTTATAAAGAATTTGTTCTTGGATTTATATGTTCATTTCCCTTTTTTATTTCTATTTTAGATTTCATTAATTTTGTTTTATTCTTAAATTATGAATTCCTTCGTCTTGTTTTTCTTATGGTGATTTTGTTTTTGTTGTTCCTATACCTTTACTTGGGTACTTAGTTATTTTTTTCATTCTTCTTTTATAAAAAAAAGCATTTAAAATTTTGAATTTTCCTGAGAACAGTTTCAATCACACACCATATATCTTGATGGTTTTTGCTGTTATTATTATTATTAAATAGTCTATGACTACAGTTGTTATTTATAGTTGGTGATAGAATTTATTTAGAAGTTTTTATGAGTTTCTCTGTTATTTAATATTTGTTCATCCTCTCATAGTGATTTCAAATTTTATTGTACAGTACTCAGAGATATTGGCCTATAAAAAGTTTCACTTTTTGGAAATCAGTTTTCTTGTCTAAAATTTGATTTACTTCTGAAATTATTTCATGACCTTTGAAAATATTATTTTATTTATCAAGTGCTATGGACTAAATTGTGCCCTTTCCCATTTACATGTTGAAGTCCTAACTCACAATGAGATGGTGTTTGGAGATGGGCCCTTTGGGAGATAATTAGGTTTAGATCCGGTCGTGAGGGTGGGGCTCTTATGAGGGGGCTAGTGTTCTTATAAGAAGTGACACAAGGGAGCTCTTTCACACTATCTTTCTCTCTCTGTTACTCTCTCGTCCTCTCCAGGAACTGAACCAGCTAGCACATTAATCTTGGACTTCCTAGCCTTTCAAACTATGAGAAACTAAATTCCTGTTGTCTAAGCCACTTTGTATATGGCAGCAACAGAAGGTGGCAAGCATCACAATCTTACTTTCATTTTTGTGTGTATCCTTTTCCAACTGTTGCTCATACTTTGTGCTGTATAATTGTTTTATATGGTGACAGGCAGTTTTAATTGGAAGCTTGGAATATGCTTATGGCCAAAAAAGAAATGGACTTTGTTTCTCTGGTAATCCAAGAGTGTGGAAGAAATAGTTCAGTTTTGGAATAGGGAGCTTGTGTGTCAATAATGGTTATTTAAAAATTTAATGACAGGACAAGAGCACCCAGAATAAAATAATGAAGGCTTGCATATTAGTTAAAACTAAACATTTAATTGAGTGATGCACACCTGGGTACCTGAATTTATCTCGCCATATGAGGTTGTACACTGGGATTCTCTAGTACTGGCAGAAAAGGAATAATTTCTAGTGGCCTATTACTTATGCCAAACTGTGGAACAATGCAATGGAAGGGCAAGTACAGAGGAAATATAGGAGGTAGAGTATGTACTAGTGTCAGGGGCCATCACAAAGCTGTTCAAGTTAATTATGACAATTATGAATTGTAGTTTTGTGTCTAAAAGTTTATGTCTAAAAGTCACAAAGGCTCTAAGGACAGCTTAATTCACATCTCTTACTAATAAATTATTCAACCAATAAATTCAACAAATATTTATAGAATGCTTACTATATGCCAGCATTGGAGAAACAGAGTGGAATAAAATATGTTCTCTTTCTTCCAGGGCTGGCAGTAGAGCAAGAATACAATTACGCTACAGCATGATCAAGTCTGGAAACACATAATTATAAAATAGTGCCCTCAAGTTTTGCTGGAGTGTCTGAGGCCACACAGCTAGCTAGCTATAGGCATAATAAAGGCTAGAACTCTGATTTCCTGATGCTGAGCCACTGTTATTTTCACTACAACAATACTGCCTGCCACAAATTATTAAATATGAGCAAGTAAAAATTTCAAATTAATAATCATCGATTCATTCGAAAATCACAAACCTGGTCGCAGCTGGACCAATACTTCTCCTGGTGTCACCTGGGTATTAATTTCATTTTCAGTTGGTATTACATTCACAGACGGGTATTCTATTGAATCAATCAAACATCCTTTGCTTATTAAATTGGAAACAGTATCACAACGTTCACTCCTTGATCCACCTGAAATGAAATCCTGTTTAAAAGAAGGAAAATCACTGACATTTTTAGTGCATATCATCTCAATTAAAACCAAAGAAAACCACATAATAAATTTTGCAAAGAAGCCATCTTCTAATATTGCACCACTTATGCAACTATCCCAAAGAGCCGCTTGTTTCCAATAAGAGTACTGGCAGATTTGTTTTAAGTAAGCTTTAATTCCTAAATCTTATTTAAAAAGAAGAAAATGAATATTAAAGAGGAGATTTAAACCAAGTACTTTTGTTAACTGATCACTGTAAAATTATACCAACTTAATATTTTACTTTGGAGAGACTGCTCCGGAAGAAAATTTATCCCAAATAGACCATTCAGCAGTTCCAAATTTAAGCCTTAGTTCTCAAAGAACTCAACTGGTATGTTTATTACGTATTGTTATGTTTGGAATACGAGAGCGAGTCCTCAGAAGTCACATGCTTAATTAAGTACAGAAAATTCATAAGAATGAATTGGAAATCTTCATTTCTTAGCCTGTGAAATCTGCCAACTTCTTATACACACAACAGTAATTCAATAATCAAGTACGATTGATGCTCATAATGAGGCAGGGAGATAAAATGGCAGCTCAAATTTTCCTTATTTTGCAACTGAATCTAAAATGTTCATTATCATTCAGCATTGACTAGTTGATGTTTATCTAAGAGCCATCCAATAAACTTGGAATTAATGGAGCAACCTTGCAATTTAGTTTATCTTAACTGTGAAGAAAATGATATTTTTATTCTTCATGTAATCATTCAGGTTTTTTTTCCTAAGAACAAGATATGTATTGAAAAGTACAGAAATATGTTTTATTATATATAATGTTGGCCTGAATTATATGTGATATTTGCTTACACATTAGCTAGATACTTATTTGCTCAGTGATCTTCCTGGCAAGTTCGTTTCTTTTCTTGAAATATATTTGTATTGATTTTAGAGAGGAAGGGAGAGGGAGAGAGAGAAACATCTATGATGAGAGAGAATCATTGATAGGCTGCCTTCTGCACGTCCCAAACTGGGGTTCAAGGCTCAACCTAGGCATTTGCCCTTGACCATAATTGAATCAGGGACCCTTCAGTCCTCAGGCCAACATGCTATCCAGTGAGCCAAACTGGCTAGGGCCTTCCTGGCTATTTCCATCTGGCATTCAGTTATTCCTCCTTTAGTTCAGCTGATTCAGAGAATTGGATTATTATCAATTAATCATTCAATCAAAGAATACTCAGAGACAGAAGTATTTTAGGTGCTGAGGATACAGAATAGAACAAGGTAGACATAGTTCCTGTCATCAAAGAGTCAATAAACCATCAGTGAATTCAGCCATGAAGCAAGGAAATGTAATAATCATGGCCATTAAACTTAGGGGAAGCACAAATTGTCCTAGGGTTATGGAGATTATTAAGTTTAATATTAGTTGATTATGAGATCACTCACTAATTATGGACAGGGACATCCCTGGCAGTGGAGAGTAATTAGATGGGATGTTGGTAGGCAATATAAAAACATTCATACAAGGATTTTAATTTAATTCCCATCTCAATTTAGAACAAGGGTTGGAAAACTAGTAAGGAACAATGGGACAAATAAAACCCATGGCTTTTTTTCTATGGCTTTAATGCTAAAAAATGTTTTTTATAATGATTTTAAAATGCTATAGTACAATAAAAAGGAGAATATGCAACAGAAAAAGTATGTAGCTCACAAAATGTAAAAAATTTTACTATGTGACCCTTTACATTACTGATCATTAGAGTGTAGAGCACACTCTGTAATATAAATATAATGAAAAGACAATAGAGAATATTTCCTTTCCAATCAATTTTTTCAGATGTCATTTGGTAAATCATTTCATGGAAATAGAAAAAATGTAATTTGCTTTTCTATTGACCATACACCTAGATTTTAGACGGAAATTAAAAATGTTCAAAGCCTTAATTTTGTGTATTCAAATTTACCCTATCTACTGATAAAACTTAGAGGCACTAAGAATGTGAGAATTGGTTTATAAACAATTTGGAGTTCCTCAGAGAAAGTGGCATATACTTCTATTGTATGTGTAACTTTTCGTCAGAAAGCCTCTGGCTAGGTGGGGGTGGGGAATCCCACCTGTGCCAGAGCTTCGGGAATATGTGCTCATTCATGGCTCACATGAAAGGACACAGACCAAGGGCCACATGTGTTTTACAGATGTAAAAATCCCAAGCCTTCAAATCAGGAAAGGGATAAAGTACAAATAACTGATTTTTTTTTCAGCCAGGGGTTTTGCTATTTGTATATACAGAATGGAAAAGAAGTGAGTGTGGTTGATTTACTGCAAGTATAGATCATGCTATGCCATTTGACCTTTAAATGCCAAATAAGTTTGCTGATATAGACCAAATAGTCTCAATTATTCTGCAATGTCTAAATTAGCCTGGTTGTTTTTACTCCAATGTAAAAATAATGTTGTACACTTGAAATGAATATAATATATGCCAACTATCATTTAAATTTTTTTTTAAAGATGTGAAAAGGAGATGGGCTTTTGTTTGCATTTTTAAATAGCAGGGTCAGATGACATTTGAACAAAACTGTGAAGGATTAGAGAGAAAAATACAGTGATT